CTCCTCTCTCTCTCTCTCTCTCTCTCCTCTCCCCCTCCTCTCCCCTCCTCTCTCTCTCTTCCTCTCTCTCTTTACGTCCAACTTAGCGTACGCACCCGCGTAAACGTACACCACGTAGCACGAGGAGCACTTTTCGCAGGCCGGCCTGCTTACCATCTCGAGCTCAATGCCCTGTAAGTGATTACCCGGAAAAGTGCTGCAAATTACATAATCGCGTCAACACGTAATCTGCTAATGAAAGTGGTAGCAATGTTGACGTACAGAAAATGACAAGCTGCCAGCTACACTATTTTCGGTCGAAAAAAAAAATATTATTTAAAAAAGTGATAGCTTTGCAATAATTTAAAATCACAGAATTGATCGATTATACGATTAAAAATTGACATTGGAATTTCCAGATATTTTTCGCTGTTGTTTTTGCATTAATAATCACGCGTAAACTCAGGAAGTTGCTGTTGACGAAACAATATTCTCGTATATTTCTGAATTTCCGCTGCGACTTTTCTAAGAGAAAGCTAAATAAATGTTGAAAATACCGTCGTTAATTGTTGTAGAAGGACAAATATTTATACTATAATTTGATGAACGAAACGGCTATTTCGCTGCCGCAACGGAAATGCCGCAAGGTTTCATCTTGTCGGTGATTTTAACATTATTTTTCATCGGGCGACAGTTTATTTAGCCGAACAAATCTCTCTTCTCACTCTACCATTGATTTGTTTATACGCAGATGAAGTGAACACGAGCGCGGTGCCTAGTGGATGCGAGCACTCCAGAGGACTCTCGAGACTTTTATCGGTTTATCTGTATCTCTCTTCCATTTATGCGCTTTAACAAATAATCACTTTCATCAAGAACATTTTTTTTCTTTATTCATTAAATAAAGTCTATTATCGAAAAGAGAACGGACACCCGTCTCTTGCTGTTAAATAAACGATGTAGACATTGAATAAACTCTAAACAGAAATTAATGCGACCAACTTTTTTGAAGTATCAATTGGATTCAATTACAAAAATATTCGCCAAAACAAAAATGAAAATTAAAAAGATCGCAATTGATATTTCATTTACGATGCATGATAATAGCAATTTGATACGTACATCTAACAGATCCCGATATACGATTCTTTATTAATCTCTTATCGTCGCTGTTACACGCTGACGTTCCTTTAATGGCATTTCAATTAATGGCTCACGCCATCTCCTATCTCGTATATCCGACGCCACGTGACGTTTATCTCACGATTGACGGGATTCGAACATCATTCGTCTCGATGTCTATCGCCGCGTCGGCCGATGTATCCATTTGCCCACGACGTTACAGTCAGCGGTCGTGTACCATCTTCCCCCTCGACCAACTTGGCTCCAGCTGCCCCTAAATCCCGATCCCTTCCGACATCGTGTACGCCCGATAGACGTCGAATGCGGTTAGACGCACGTGCGTTTTGCGCAGCGCGGGCGATAAACGCGCTCGAGAAAAGGCAGATCGATATCTCTCCGATGGATGAGGCCCGCGCGATAGCCCTTCCCGGGTATAAATAATGGAATTACGGGAGAGAGAGACGTAATTGTTACGAATTGCCGGGGGTAATTTATGGGTGCCCCGCCGGGTGGGTGGCCCCCGTTCCCCTCCCCCGCCCCAAGCACGCGCGTTTTATCTCGCTGCGCTCTACGCAAATGAAATAAAGCCATTATTGAGTCGACGCGATGTGAAATGTCATTGCTACGTCGGCGAACATCAGGTAGTACCGCAAAAATTGAATACGTCTCATTGAAGTAACGATTATGTCTTTTTTTTTTTTTTTAAATTATATCCATCTCATATCGATCCCGACGCACATTTATTTGAAAAATATCCGCTCGTTCTTACGTCCGTTTGAGAATCTCTCGCTTTCGACGGGAATCCCGAAAGAAAAGTTTCGTGATCGCTTCGTGGATATTCAACAGATTTAACTCGCCTCGTGAAGCAGTCCGGACCCAACGAGAGTCACTCGAATGAGGCTCTCAAAGAGAACCGAAACGCAGTTTTTGCTTCTTGTTTTTATATCGAGCGTAGAAACAACACAATATCAAAGTACTGCTGCGCGCATAAAAAACACTAATGTTCTTTCTTCCGGCCTTCAGAGGCAAGACAGACGTAGAAATGGATTTTTGATGGTATTTAGAAACGCATCCTTCACGCTCGCTCGCACGGACATCTAACAAAGAGTTAACAATAAAATTAACGAATTTACCCGTGACAAAGACGGGCTACTTAGCGTTCGCATAGCGGCGTAGCTACTTATGTAGATTCACGCCGCGGGCTACGCCTTCTCGATTTCCTAGAAGATTAATCGTCCTTATGCGGGTTACGAAAATTACTCTTCCGGTTCAAAGCGTGTGCGTAAGATCGTAAATTACTGCTTCCAATTTATCCCTCCGGATAGACGATGATACTAAAGCACGGTTATATTACCATCCAACTCGTTTTATTAACGAGATATCATACATTACATTTGTACGTATCCTCTGCGCACGGAAATAAATCCCTGCCAGTTTGTATATAATTAAACAAACAACGTTTAGGGAATTTGAAATTAAAGAAATTAAAATGAAATTATAATGAAATTTGCAACAGTTTTATTTCGTTAAAAGTCCAAAATTAAATTATAAAGATTCCCTACCACGAATAAATTTCTCATTTGAATTAATTTTTACAAAACTTAACTCTTCTCTATTTATATTTCATTTCCTCTAGATATCTATTTATTTCTTACTCATATTATAAACACATTTCTCTCTAGTTTATCTATCAATCTAGAGAGCTACAGGAAAATTTGCTCAATCATAATACCGACGTTATGACGCGATAATACGCTCTTTCGCGGAAACGATTACAAGAAAAATAAAAATTTGAAATAAACACGATTCCGCCGAAATGATATGGAGTTTTCTATGTGAGTCGACGAGAGGCCTGGACGTTTATCGCATCTGACGCTTAGCTGACTGTGCACGGGCAAAGTACCTAACTGGAAATGGACGGACACTCTTATTAGTGACTCACAAAGAACATTTCATACTCCTCCAGGTTTCGGGCCGGCCGGCACGAAACGTCGACGATGACTAAGAAATATCGAGACTGGTCGATATAACTCCGACTGCGCGAGCGATTCGGGGATGACGGAGTATCGCGCTATCGTTAGCCCTCGAGGTGCACTCCATCGTTTCCTCCTCGTCACGGGCGATCAATTAATCATCCGTGAACTGTCATTTTTCTCAGCTTGCGTCAAGTCCGGGGAAAGTCCCGGAGGCAAATCTCCTATATATACCTACCTGCGACTTGTTGACACGGACGTTAAATTTTAATCCTTCGGTGTTTACTACGCAGAGACGTTTGTTTCTGCCGCGATAAATTTCGACGAACTTTCTTAATTTTTTCTTGGAAAGTCTGTGACTCGTATTCCTACTTTCTCACGCTCATCCTTTAATTGATTAATTTTTCAGTGCTATGTGCGATACAACCGAAATTCGCAATTTGTTAATTTAATCGCACGTCGTGATCGCGTTACATAGGGGCGCTTGCTCCAATTTTACGTCACAATTATGTTTACCCCGTATTTTCCCTGCGTGCCCTGAAATATATCACACTTGCGTTCACGCTGTGCTTTCCACCGCGAGATACATAACACTTTTCCCGTCATCGGAGATGGGGATCTCGCGTCAAGCGACTTGTCGATGCAATCTTGCGACGCGAGTGCGATACATATGCGCTCCTCGCAGGGCGATGAGTCATGCCTGCCATACCGTGACGCACGCCGCATTATTTTTATGGTGTTCTCGCGTGGGCGCTATGATTCACGTGGGCCTACAGGCTTTTCCGTTTCACCCCCGTTTGTAACTGTAAAGCATCCCTCCAGCACCACTACGATATGCCTACGTCCCGCTCGCGCGAATGAATCGTCAGAAATCCCATGCGAACCATCGTGTACCATCGACCCGTTAATTATTCCAGGTGGTGCGCGCGATTTTGATTAGCCGTAAACGCATTCGGTGATCCTCGTGGGACATATCGAGGTGTACGCTTGCTCTCGCTCGGGGGGAATGCATTTGTTAGCGCCCGCGCGATGACGGCGATTTATTTCTTGCAGATTTGTAGATTTCAAATTGTCACCACTTTAGTTTATGATCATATCGTGTATTAATACATAATCAAACTGCAGCGTGTTAAAACTTTCATGTTATTTCTTAGAAAAAAGAATTTTTTTTTGTGTAAAAAGAAAAAGTAAACCATGAATTACCACGAATATTATTCTTACTTAAATAATATTTTTCTGTATTACATTAATCTTGATGTTTTGTCATTTTTTTTTCAACATTTTTTTATATAAAAAAAATTCAACTATTAGGTCTTATAAAATCTTTTTTCATTTATTACATTTCATTTTTCTTGAAATAGATGAAAGTTTTTGGGCGAGAGGGAATTTTTATTTGAACATTATCCTAATATATGTTTGCTTCATGTAACGAGCTAATTAAATAAAGATTTGATTAGGAAAAAGCACACAGTTAATATATTTGCTTCGAATATGAAATCTTCTTCTAAATTTATCTACCTAGTATGAGAGAAAAGTAAAGAAATATATGAATGTATAATCTTCCTTCCAAAGTGCGAACTCATATAAATATGAATTTCGCAACTTGGATCATACAAGTGAGTTAATAAGTTTTATCCATATCAAAATGATCCCTTTTACCTCCTTAGCGCAAACTCTTGACGGCGAGAAAGATCAAATTTAAGATCTGACCATAAATCCGCTCTTTTTACGCATACGAGATGTTCTTACTTCAAATTTTTCGGGAGCAAATTTACACTTCAACTTATTTTTACGAGCCAATATTTTCATACGTGCCCCTGCCTACATTACTTTCTATCGCTCTTTCCGCAATATCCCCGATCATCCTGGCTGAGCTCACCCAACAAGAATCAGTGTACTTTTTGGAACGAGGCAAACGATCGGCCTTGAAGATCTATCCATCCGATAAATCTGGAAATTACCGAGCGAGAGGCGTCAGCCACGCGACTTCGTCCGGCCGATTTCGAGAGCACTAATGCATCGATAAATCTCGTGGCGTTTCAAGGCGTCCATTCAGCCAACCGACACATGCTGCGACTTCGACGTAGCTCTGTGTGTGTGTGTGTGTGTGTGTGTGTGTGTGTGTGTGTATTCATACGTTTGTATATGTACGTTTGTGTAAGCGACACGCACGTGTCCCAATTCCATCACATTTCCCGTTGGCGCCTAACATTTTTCGTTCGCACTTAACGGCGTGGGGTCCTTTTCCCTCGGACCGGTCATCCGTGGCACGAAATTAATGAAGACGAGAAAGCGGCAAGATCAAGGCAGGCAGCGGAGGAAAAAATTAAACGACGTGGACTTCATTAAGGAAGTATCATATCATATTTCTTTCTGCTTTCTTTTTCCACGAGACGTCAAAAGATATTGCGTCGTAAAAGAATGCTCAACTTTTTTGTTTCACGATCTTATTGACTTCAGACTTTCGATGAGAATATCGCTGTATCGTTTCGTAGAGCACGAGGCTGCTTTTCGCCAAAAAAATCGCGGTCTTAATTAGGACGGGAATTCCACTATTCGAGATACACCTGCGTCGGTATTTCGACGGCGAGGCGGATCGCGCGGCGCGTTCGGCACGCGCGAGAATAACGCGGCGCGTAAAGCGACTAGAAAATAGCAGCCGAGAAAGAAAACAGCGGGAAACACAGACGGCGATGCGGCGATGCGGAGAACGAAAGATGCCGATGGGAGAGACGTGTCGTTTCGCGTTTTCTCTGGCGCCGACAATCCAGCGTTCTCGAATTCTTCGGGAGAATTCGCGGTCGTTTCTTTCGCCGTTCCTTTCGCGTATGAGGCATAAAGCACAAATGTCTTTTTTTTTCCTCTCTTCCGACCGCTTGCTTTTAACTCGACGCGAGAGGAGACTGAGAAAGATATAGGCACCATCGACGCGCGCGAGAAACGAACGCGCGAGAAACGGAATGAAAGAGGTCGCGGTAGAGTTAACTTTTTAATTTCAGCCATCGCCGAAACTTATGCGACACGCGCTAATCGGATGTATGATGTTACAACGTTTTACTATATCAACTCCGCTGAGAGCTATTTCATGTGAAATATGAGGAAAACGAAATCGCACGAGGAACTATATTTAAGGTTTCCAAATGGTGGGCTTTATTCGGAATGCAGAACGAGAAATCATACTCATCGCGCGATGTGTACACGAGTGTGCTTTTATTATGTACACGACAAATCCGTAAATAGTAACACTTCGTTTAATTCGCTCGCTTTAATCGCGTTAAAATTATTATTTTAAATTGCTATTATAATTAAATTTTAAAAACGGGACAGAACGGTATGATGTACAGAATATAAATCTCTTTGTAAAATTGTAATAAATTTATGATTCATCATTTTTATCTCGTACAGTGTATATCTATCTGCTCTTAATTGATACGAGAGCATAAGAATGTAGTAAACCTGTAGTAAATTGGCAATTATATCACATTATGTTACGATGTTATTATTACATCAACATCTTTAACAAGTTCACTTAGATGAGTTCTTTGAAGTCATCCTACAAGATTTTCCGAATTTCTTGAACTTGTGATATTTTAGGAACCGCTCCAGAATTTTACACAGAAATAACACCTTTTATCTCTGCCTTTTATTTCTGCTCGCTAAAAATGTCGATGACACCGCATATTACAAAATAAAGCTTACTCGCGAAATTGCATAAAATTAATTAATTCAATTAACTCATTATATTTATTTTTGAGAAAAAAGAAGTTTTTAAGCTACTTGAATAGAAATCAAGTGAAAAAAGATATATAT